GTCCTTTCCCACTTCTGCCAGAGCAGCATAAATCTTCCCCCGGGTTCTGCGCTCCCGTGAATTTCCTGTTCATCCCGGTTTTAGCCCCTCTCACACTGCGGTGCCGTCTTGGGGGTAAGGGTTGCTGTGTGAACATGAACCTCTTCCAGGGGAGGGTGAGGTTCCCCAGGGGACAGACCCGCACGGAGTCGAGCACATCGCCCGGCAGGTAGCAAGGCGTTCGGTAACAGCTTGTTTTGCCGGACTGGCCTTATCTGGCTTGAACCGTCAGTATGTTCTACGTCGGTTCCTAATGTCTCTGGGGGATTTTTCTAGACCAGTACGTGAGTACCAAGGAGTCGTGGATGGCAGACTACTGCAAGCAGGACAAGGAGGCGGACTCGGCCCTGTCGGAAGACTGGATGGGCTCTTCAGTGGATCCCCCGTGCTTCGGACAAAGTAAGGTTTTTCTCTGCAAATGCCTAACTCAATTGCTGTCGACCTACAGAGTGCTATTTCATTGAAAAATCAAAAATTCTTTTCTGTGGGAAGACCAACAGGAAATTTGGACCATCTCCTGTAGTTCTGTTTTAGTCTTTGTGAGATGCATTTTTCTGGCACAAAGCACGCAGCCCCAGTTTGACCTTTGTGGGGGGGAGAGGGTCTGCGGGGCCCAGCCCCCGGGCTCTGGTAGCACTGCACGTGCCCCGGTGCGCCCGAACGTCACTGAGGTCAGCCACCGCTCAGTCCGGGTTTTACTGGGCCGAACAAACGTCCCTGGGGATTAACCTCTTGGGCTGGATTTTTAAAAAGATCTGTTCAGTCTTCTAAAGCTAAAGATTGGACATACATGCTTAAAGAGAGGGGGCGCGGAATATCCCATGTGGGGGGGGGTTGTTGGGGGGCCTGTATTCCCCACAGAGTGCAGAAGAATGGAATGCCCAGCCTCTGGGAGAGGGAGGAGTCAGTTTGTTCTCCTTCAATGATGTTTTCTTTCCTTGTTTAACGCTTCGCTGTGGAGCTCTGATTTCCTCGGAGCTGGGGCGTTGGCGGTGGCCCGCTGCACGGTTCTCAGTTGTCCCACAAGCCGTTGTCATTCAGATGCAGTGCAGCCCCGGCCCTTCCAGTGTGGCTTCTTTGGGGAGTCTTGGCCAGACTTCACATAGCTCGTGAATACGTAACCACTCCATCTGGCCTGCAAACGTGTCATGGGAAGATGGATTTTCCTAGTGTATGAGCATCTGAACTGGCTCTTCTCTCCTCAGCGTGTACAAGTGGACTTTCTCTCTGCTTTGTACTTCTAGAAGGAGGGGCAGGAGATGTCAGCTGAGCCTGCTCTCCGTACTCCCAGGCTGTGGCTTTCAGTCCCAAGGCCATTGCTTAGGAGCCAGGGCTTTGCAGATATCATCAGCTTCAGTTGTGGCTCCCCCTCCCACCTTCCCAATCTGTGTGTCAAGAGAATGTAACATAAATTCTACCTAGAAGACTCTAAATAATCTTTGAAGTATGTTAAGTGTGTCAGGGAGTGTGTGTTTCTAAAAGCATCCACACAAGGGGATCTTCCATCCGGGGCGGCAGGAGCACTTAGGGGCCCCATCACCAGGATGCTACTGAGGGGGGTTCTTTCCTCCCTCTCCTTCCTCCCCTGCCTTTAAGAAAAAAGATTTTCCTCTTCCTTTAAAGTTAATTAGCCACCTCCCTTACGTTAAATGTTTCTGCTAAATTAAAGCTGGTTTTATTTACTTAGATTTTTATAGTTACTTAGGCATATAAAGGTATAATATTTCTTTTTAGTTAGACATAACTGAATCTATCTACATTTCCAAGCCTCTTTTTTATTAGAAGTTCCCGGGTAGTAGTAGGAAGTCAGCTGGGATTGTATTCGTTTCAGAGACCCACTGAAATAATTGCGGGGCATTTGTTTTGAAAGTCAGTTGTTGAACTGACCACGGACATTCAGGTCCAATTCATGAATATCTAGTCACCTCCCCCCCCCCGCTGCCCCCCCAATTTGTACACTTTATTCAGGGCAGCTTCAGTGGGAGCTCTTGGAACAGAGATTCTTAATATGAAATTCAGCCTGAGGGGGCTGCCGATTTCTTACTGTTTCTTTAGCACGGGAAGGAAAATAACAGCTTCGTTTTTGAGGTAACTGTAGGCTTTGTTCGGTAAGGGCTGAGACTCCGCAGTAAACCTGGCTGGCACGGCACCTTATGGAACCCACTAGTTCTGTATCCCAAGGACACTGTTTGGAAATGGAAATATTCTAAAAACTCCCATGTTTAATTTATAATGTCACCGTACTGTGAGATAACTCCTTAGTCCTGACAGTTAAAATGGGAACACGGGCCGACTCTTCCCCTGGAGCTTTTGAGACCCCTGAGGGATCAGCGTTCTCTGCTGCTACTGCGTTTCTGTGGGAGACGGAGTAGCTCCCACTCAAATCTGCACTCCCTGGTGTTGGCGACTTTCCTGTGACGTCTGAGAACGCTCCTGCTTTAAATGGAAAACCCTCAGAAGGCTTGTCATTCTGTTCAAAAGAACGTTGAATGCATTTTCTTTCCCCAGTTGAGAAAAAAGGAGCATGCTTCTTTGACGCGGCCCTGCCGTTGAAAAGCCGGCCTGGAAACGGCCCCGCCCACCTTGTCAGGCGCCCCTTAGCTTCTAGTCGGCACCGAGGGGGTGATGCTGCCACTGCATGACGCTTGCTGCTTTCCTAACGGGCTCCGCTCGGGCTTCTGCGTCGGGGGCAAGTCCGCTCACGCACTGTGTTTGTTCTCACGCTCTAACTCTGTCTCTCCTGTCCACCAGGCCTCCCCCTGGTCTACCTTAGAACTAGGAGCACAGCCAGTCTGACTAACCTAGAGCACCAGATCTATGCTCGAGGTACGGTACGGCCAAGCGAGGGCTTGCCTCGTTCTCCTGTTTTAAGAACTGCCTTGTACATCGATTTTCTGTGAATGGGAGCAGAATGGGAGCATGCCTGGTGTCGAGCACTCTGTTTAGTAGCAGGGGAATTTCCAGCTAATGAGCAGAGTGACGCTTTTCATCAGAAGCGAGTGGTGTGCTGATTCCTGTGCTGTCTCCTGCGTTTACCTTAACCCTCGGTAGCGATGGAACCCACTCTAGTGGGTGGTGCAGAAGTGCCCGGCGTCAGGTAGGTGATTTCTCATGCCGGAAAGCAAGTACACGGAAGAACACCACCTCCCCCGAGCAGCCCTCCCAGCCTGTTTGCAGCACACTCAGTGGACACGCGACGGCCGACTCGGGCTCTGTGGGGCCGGGGCTCTCAGGGTCTTAGCCAGAGCTCAGAAAGTTTCCCTGAGACACAACCTTCACTCCTTAAGCCAGGACTCGGGCACTTAGGGGAGAGAAAAGAAAAGGTCCTTTATTCCTCTCTCTGACCCTTGAAGCTTCCTTGAGCATGTGACTGGTCAGTAGATGTTACAGAAAACACCCCAGACCTCCAGGAATTGGATCCCAGGCTACGCACGCCCTCCTTCGTGTGTCGTGCGTGTAATCGGAATGAAATCCGTGTGCCTGGCTGACAACAGGCCCTGCCCGGGCCGTGACATCTTTGGTTTAAAAAAAAGGCCGTTTGAGCTTCCTCGGCAGGAGTTCAGAACAGGGACATTACGACATCAGACAGCACTGTGGGGCTTTTCCCGGAAGGTTTTACGGAGGTGGATGTTTAGGGGATGGCTCCCAAAGGAAGCCCGTGATCGAATCTCCATGTACGTGTGGATTTATATCCTGAGCTTTCCTGCGTCTGATGTTTAATCTTTCAGGCTAAGCAGAGTGTTAACTCCTGTGTAGCTGATGGGGACAGAGAACCCCAGGGAGACCGGTGACTGGCCCTCCTTCACGCGACTAGCTAGCAGCAGGCCCAGGACATCTACCTCTTTACAAAGCCAGTCCTTTCGGACAGAGTGAGCTGCTTACGTAGCATGAAAACCTACCCTGTGTGTCATGGCCAAACCGCTCTGTGAATCAAGCCCGAGGGGGTAGAGATTTCCTCAGCTGGAGCCACTGGAAGCTGAAGCTGGACGTGAGGAGCGTCAGGTTCTCCGAGCCCGTGGGGAAATTAGGTCTGGTCGCTGGGGACAGATTTTCCGAGGTCACCAGGGAACCCTGTGCTCCTTGAGGGACTTGGGAATTTGGTTTCTGGTCCCGTGCCAGCGGCAGATCCATAGTCGATGTGGACCCCAGCGCAGGCGATGTCAGACTTGTCCCCTGGCGCTGGCGCTGGACTGGTGAGCACTCCGCGTATTTTTATTGTCAGAGAAGCCGGTTGCTGCAGTCTCCGCTGGTATGTGTAATCAAAACAAGCAGCTCGGGGACCCAAGCTGTGTGCCTTCCCAGGCTCTTTAATTCCAGAGCAATATACTCGTGAATATCTTTATATGGATTCCTAGCACTTTATTCTGCGTTACTCTGTGATCAAAGCCATTTGCCACCTGTTCTTTTTAAATCTAATTTGCAAATGGAAACTCACAGTCTGGCTCACAGCGGGATGTGAGAGCACAGCTGGCTCCTTTTCCTCCGGGGCCTTTATCTCCTGCAATAAAGCAGCTCAGCTCAGGCCCTCACCGAGCGGGGGTGCCTTTCAAGGTGCCACAATAAGTACTGTTTACCCTGCAGACAGCTCTTAAACCTTTTACTCCCCCTCTGCTCTTGTCAGCAGCCTCACAGCTACTCCGTAATTTTCTACTCGAAGAACATTATTAGTATTTGTTTTAAAGGAAACCTTGGGAACTAAGCGAGGCCATTGGGAGGGGAAATGGGTATGTTGTCAGCAGAGATTGTCTCGAGGAGAATTCGGGGGCGTCGCTAAAGACCAACCACGGAATTGTGGTTGGGAACGCGCTGTGGACTGCTCATGTATTGGGCACGTTGTTATCAGCGTGGAACTTGCCTTAACCCGAAGCTGCTTGTGTGGCCGTGTTCCTAGTACTGACTTCTGACAGTGTCAGAGGCTGGAGAGGGAAGTGCTTGCTTGTTAAAGGCAGCAATGCGGGCACCAAGACACGGAATGCCTCACGTGTTTGTGTGTCGTCCCTGTGCAGCGCCACGCTAATCTTCTCCGTAATTGTTTCCGTTTTCTCGTGTGTGCTGCTGAAGTGAGCACACTCACACAACGGAATACCCCTGGCCGTGAGAAAGAAGAACACGTTACCCTTTGCGACGGGACGGTGAGGGCGGACCTGGGAAGCATTGTGCTAAGTGAAATAAGCCAGTCAGAGAAGGACAAGGAGCGTGTGATTTCACTCCCGTGTGGCATCTAATGGGTAAACTGAAGTAACAGCCGAAGTCGAGGCAGACTCACAGACGGAGAGCAGGCTGACAGCTAGTGGGGACGGGTTAGGGTCCGGCGGGGGTCCAGTGAAAGGGAGAAAGGACTCACGGACGTGGACAGCAGGGTGGCGACTGCGGGGGCTGGGGGCGGGCCCTGAGGGGCTAAGTGGTCGTGGAAAACAGTACAGTGAGAAAGTGAAGGTGGGTTAAGAAAAGTCAGCTTGCTTGAGCAAAGAGAACAGAGGGAAAGCGAAGGCAGCGGCGAGGACCGGCCTGTGACCTGCCCCGCGCCTCACCTGGGAGGTGGCGGAGGCAGGGCTGCGCAGCCTCCCTTCTTGTTTTGCCGGCGGGAGGCGTGTGGGCCTGGAAGATGAGCATCACTCTGCTGTGGAGCCTCAGTCAGCAGTCGCAGCCGCCTCCAGATGTCCTTCTCGGCACAGCTGCAGGCCGTGTGGGTGCCGCGCTCGCTCGGGCTGTCTGTGCTTTCACGCGAGACACCTGGGAGACGGGCCGTGCCCCCCCTCCCCCCTTGGTTGCCAGTGTGTGTGTGGCGTGAGCACGCGGCCTTTGTGGTTCCTGCTGCCCCCCCCGCCCCTTCTTCGTGTGGCGGCAGAGGAGACTCAGGCCCTGGGTCGGAGGAGCCCACGTCCCTCTGTGCAGCGCCCGACCGCTGGCAGGGCAGGCTGCGGGCACCGGGCCACCTTTCGACTCTTTCCGGCCACGCGGTCTCTCACTTTCCTGATTCTCTTATAGTGTTTACTGTCAGGCCAGTTGTCTTTCTAGAACTTGGTTACTTATAGTGTCGTGTTGATCAGTGTTTCTTTCCAGTTTCCCTGACTAGAAGCTGTTTTGTGAACAGAAAGTGTGGTTTTATGCTCCTTTTGTAGTCTCCCTGGCACCTGCCCTGTGTACGCAGACGGTGGGGATGCCCGTGTCGACTAAGGAGCTGAATGGTTCATGTGAAAGCCTTTAGGACAGTACATGCCTGGTCCTCCGGGGAGAAGAAACCCCCAACGATTAGTATAGAAGAATAGGAGAGATGCTTTTCTTTCATCGTCATAGGAATAATGTGACTGCGGTGTAACTTTTACAGAAAGGGAGGCTTTGTTAACGTGCAGGTGGTTTGGGCCGAGTCTAATCAAGTGGGTGTGACCTATCGCGCTAAGTCTGGGTTACTTACGGGGTATTTCCTGGGAGTAGCGGGGTCCCCGTCTCTCTCTCCCTCTCTCAATTCCAGCCAAGTTAGGTCCCGACGCCCTCTGCTGAGACGGGGCCCACGGGGGTTGTGGGGGAATTGGGGGCCGGGGCAGCCACCCGTCGCAGCCAGCTGCCGGGGGACCAGGCGTCCACAGCAGGCAGCAGAGTCCCTGGAGGTCCCATCCGCCCCGCGGGCTCAGTGGTGGTAGTTCCTTCCCTCTTCCCCCTTCCTTCGCTCCTTTGCCAAGAGACCCTTGCGGGTACTGTCTCAGGGCGGGGCAGGGTGGGGGGCCAGAGGGGGAGGGGTCTCTTCCGCAGAGGTGGAGGCGATGCTAACGGCTGCTGTCTGTCTGTCTGTCCGTAGCAGAGGTGAAAACCCCGAAGCGCAGGCAGCCCTTTGTCCCCTTTGCCCTGAGGAATCACACAGGCTGCACCTTGTGGTTCGCCACCCTGACCACCACCCCCACCAGGTAAGGACCCTTGACCTGTCACCCCGAGCCATCTCTGCCACCAAAGAAAGGCTCCTGGGCACCGGCCCGGTGGGCCCCTTCTTGGGGCTCTTGGATGGTATTTGAACCGGGAACTTGCTGCTTGGCTCTCTGTGGAGTCCGCAGTCAGAGAAGTAGGTCTTGAGTCTGAAATGCCCAAGTTACGATGCTGATCCCGGTAGACATTATGTTTAAAGTCCAAGTCGGGTAGAGGAAGGGTGTGAGTGGGCCTCGAGAGAGAAAGCCGTCCCGTGTTTGCTCCTCAGCCCCCACGCCCCTTGAAGGAAGCTGTATGTGGTTATGAAATCAGACGTCTTAAATCTTTCTTCTGAGGCAGCTCTGAAAACGTCCTATTTCCTTCCCTTTACCCTCCCTGAGAACTGTCAAACCCTGAACACGCTTCAGTCCAGGTGGCACCAGGCAGAGTCTGGAGAACGAGTAAGAGTTTCCCTAAACTGCCTGAGGGCGTTCTCTGCGGCTCTCTGCCTGCTGGGACCCGGGCGGGGGTGGGGTAATGAAGAGCAGGGAACGGGTAGCAGAATCAGCTGATTGGAAGCCACGTTTTTCCTCCACTAAGTGTGATAATGCTTTACCGAAGACTTTCTGCTTGGTTTGTTTTTAAGAAAGTTTAGGTCTGGGAAGTGCTTGTAGTCACGCAATACTGCCTTTCCAAGCTGTGACTCGGTTTACACAGCGCCCTGTGCAGCAGGCTCAGTGCTGGGGGCAGGTGAGCGTGTGGCCACAGCACTCAGCGGTGCTTGGTCGTGGAGATACCTTTAGTTACTGACCTTCGGGACCCTCCGCGGGAGCCCGGTCATGCTGCCCCCGGCACTGAGCGCTGTGTGGGCGGGAGCTGGCGAGAGAGAGGGACAAGCGGGCGGTGTCTCCTCTGGTTCCAGGGCCGCCCTGTCTCACAGCGGGAGCCCAGGGGTGGTTCCCGAAGAGAACGGAGCCTTTCTCGACGATGCTCACAACGTCAGTGAGTGGCGGGAAGTCCTCACAGGCGAAGAGATTCCCTTTGAGTTTGAAGCACGTGGGAAGCTAAGACACAGGTAAAGTGTGGTCCGTTCTTTTCCTCATGTATGATGCGAGCGTCTCGAATGATCTGTCCTTTCACTTTATTAAAGACTGTAATGATTTAGTGTTTCCTTTAAAAAAATACAGTGACTATCAGGGGGTGCAAGGGGACTAAATGGTAATGGGGAAAAATAAATACAATGTAAAAAAATACAATGACTCTCTTGCTATCTTGGAAGTATATCTCATTTCCCATTAGTTATCGCTTTGTCGGACGTGTGTGTTTCACATAATTTGGTTGAAGTACAGACAGGGCATAACACTCCAACACATTGCCTTCCAGCCTGGTTTACATGGTGCACTGGTGACATGGTATTCTGCAGAGGTTTTTAAAGCATGTCGATTTCAATTTTTAAGCTACATAGGAGCCACATAGCACTTTTAGCAAGCAGATGCTTTCAGAAAGCAGAGCCATCATGATAAGATAAAGTGACTCTTAAGAGGATAAGAACCCTTCACCTAGGGAGACTGCTGGCACTCACTCCCGACATGGCCAGCCAAGGACCTAGGACAGACGCGAGGGACGGTTCCGTCTGCTTACCGAGAGGCCACGCAGTACCTCATTAAGTGCTCTGGTCGTGCAAACACGTTTAAGCAGAAGGGCTGTCTGGGGAAGAGGTGAAGGTGTTAGGATTTGAGCCTCGGTCTGTTTTTGGGCTGAGCTGAAGTGGAGGAGGTTGGCTTCGGCCTGCTGCTCTCACGAGGCCGTAGGTCTTCGGGTGCAGACCTGCTCCTGGACGGACTTCTTCCCTCCACGGAGCTTTCTGCCCCCCAGCACGCGCTCCTCCCTCGCGGCAGGCCTTCTGAGCGCGTGGGCCCCCGGTGGTGGTACAGGAGTGCAGTTTAAAAACATCACTGCTCTGGGTGCATGGGCCTGGAAGCCATGTTAGAGTTTCCAGGGATGAGTGGTGAGCATTTTTCCGTTCCACAAAGTTCCTAGAGGAGCTAATTAGAGAACTGGTAGCTGTACTTCTCATAAGCACTGCCTCTGTTACATCAGAAGTACAACCGTTAGCTGAACTTCTTAATAAGCACTGCCTCTGCGTGACCTCTTTGTCATTTCTGTTTTAGATCCCACGTTTTGTAACCCATTTCAAGTCCCACTGTTCTTCTTGAATTCATCAAAATAAATGCCTTTTCTGGCTTTCCCCCCTCTAACACACTGTATCCCAATCCCTTCCTCCCTCCCTCCCTCCCTCCCTCCCTCCCTCCTTCCTGTCAGCCTCAAATCCAGTTCCCCATTTCAGGCTTCTGGCTTGAATTAGGCAAAATCTAAAATGGAATTAAATGTGCAATTTCCTCCCGTTCCTCCTGTTCTGCCCACCGCTTTCTGCTTCAGTTTCCGCCAAGCACCTCAGCTCTGAAACGCCGGGGGCGCCGTCTCCCGTAACCTGTCTGCCGCCGTGGGGACCGAGCCAGGGCCGAGGGTGGTTCTGGGAGAAGTGGGGGGTTCAGCGAAAGGACGGAGCAGAAAGTGTTGCGGGTGTTTCCAGGAGTGCAACTATACAATCAGATCGCTAGGAGAGCGTTGTGACTGCCCCGCTGACCTGGTTTTAGCCGGCCGACGGCACTGTTTCATACGGGTTGCGCGGGGGGTCGGGGGGGCGAGCCCCGGGTGAGTGCACGGGGTCTGCGGGGCCCCTGCGAAGGGAGGGCACGTGCCGCTCCTGCTCACTGAAGATCCCGCGGTTTCTACTGGGAGACCCAGTGAGCGTATCCTCTTGATTTCCCCGGCACCAGGTCATCACTAAAAGAAGGCTTGGCCAACTGGGTTTCTATGGCATTATGTAGTAAATCAGAGCTGGGTCTTTGCCTCTAGTCTTCTTTCCTTTATAAGGCTGTGCCTATTGTCTTTCTCCGCGCTCTGCTGCAGACACACCCATGATCTCCGGATTCACCAGCTGCAAGTGAGAGTGAATGGCTGGGAGCAAGTGAGCCCCGTGTCCGTGGACAAAGTGGGGACCTTCTTCCGATACGCGGCACCGGATAAGAATTCGTCGTCCTCTACGGTGCGTGGTGGTGGTGGGGGGGGGGATGGGCGTAGACTGTGCCCCGACCCCACGCCCTTACA